AGCTCCTAGAGCTTGGTATGCTCGCCTCTCTAGTTTTCTTATTGAAAATAGTTTTTCTAAAGGGAAGATTGATAATACACTTTTTGTAAGAAAAAGAAAAAATGATTTTATTTTGGTTCAAATATATATTGATGATATCATTTTTGGTGCTACTAATAAAAATTTATGCAAAGAATTTTCTAAAATTATGTAAAGATCACTTTGAGATGAGTATGATGGGAGAGCTCACATTCTTTCTCGGGCTCCAAGTCAAGCAAACTAAGGATGATATTTTCGTTTCTCAAAGCAAATATGCTAGAGAATTGGTAAAGAAGTTTGGATTGGAGAACTCTAAGCATGCACAAACTCCCATGAGTACAAGCATCAAGCTTGATGCGAATGATAGTGGTGAGGATGTAGACCAAAAACTATGCCGAGGTATGATAGGTAGTCTTCTTTATCTTACCGCTAGTAGACCCGATATCATGTTTAGTGTGTGTGCATGTGCACGTTTTTAAGCTTCTCCTAAAACATCTCATTTGCTTGCGGTTAAAAGAATTATTAAATATGTAAATGGTACTATTGATCTTAGTTTATTTTATCCTAAAAGCACCTCTTTTGATCTTTATGGTTTTTGTGATACCGACTTTGCCGGATGTATCTTTATGGTTTTTGTGATACCGACTTTGCCGGATGTAAGGTAGATCGCAAGAGTACGAGTGGTACATGTTAATTTTTGGGTAACTCTCTTGTCTCTTGGGCTTCCAAGAAACAAAATTGTGTTATCTTGTCCACTACGGAAGCAGAATACATTATCGCCGGCTTATGTTGTGCCTAACTTTTATGGATGAAACAAAGTTTGGTTGATTATGACTTGCATTTTCAAAATACAAAATTTTTTTGTGATAACACTAGTGCTATAAACATTTCCAAAAATTCTGTTTTGCACTCTAGAACCAAGCATATTGATGTACGCCACCATTTCTTATGTGATCATGTAGAGCGGAAAGATGTATCCCTTATTCATATTGATACTAAATCTCAATTAGCGGACATCTTTACCAAACCTCTTAGTAAAGAAGATTTTTATCGCATAAGAAATGGTTTGGGCCTATGCATTATTTGAAAATCTTTTTGCTTGTTTGTTTGCTTGGTCACATATTATATATGCCTCATTTTCATAACATGCTTAAGCACATACAAATTACCAAGAGGAGTGTGTAGTGAGGACGTAGTCGATACCGAGAGAAGTGGCGTCGGTGGCCTAGTGAGAGGTGATAATTCCAAGCACTTGAGGGAGGCGATACGTGAGGACCAACGGTGGCCTAGTGAGAGGTGATAATTCCAAGCACTTGAGGGAGGCGATACGTGAGGACCAACACTTGAGTTATATTTTATGTATTTAAGTATGTTTCTCTTTTAATTTCCCCACTTTTTGATGGTGACAAAGGGGGAGAGAAATCTCCTCATTTGTGCACATAGTAAGGGGGGGCTCATAGATAGGGGGAGCGCCTATCCATGAGCTATATTTATTTAGCTCATATATAATGGTTGGTTGTCAATATCAAAAAGGGAGAGATTGTTAGCCCTTATGTTTTGATGATAATTTACAACCACCATTATCGGTACTAATTGCTTGTTAAGTGATATTATAGTTAATATGTATATCAAGCTTGTTAGTACCATATAGGGAGGATTGGATGAAATATGAGTTACAACGTTAATATCTATAGGAGGTGGAGGCAATGTGATGAAGCAAATGTTAATCAAGAACAACATATACAAGTGAAAGCTTCATCAAATCAAAGCAATATCAAGACTCAAAGAAATGTTATTCTATGTGAGGATATATGCTAGTTTTTCTTTTCTCTCTAGTGCTAGATTGTAGGCAAGTAGTTATAGATTTCATTTGAAGCTATTCGGGATATCACACACACTTGCACACTTTCAAAACTTATATTTTGGTACTTTTGTCAAAATAATATTTTTCATAAATACGAGGACCTTTTTAAAAAATTCATCTTCAAACAAGTTTGTCAAAATGATTATAAATTATTCCCAAAGTTTCACATTTTTAGAATTTATCTGATATTTTTAAACATGTTTTTAAGTTGAGTTTTTTGTGCAAATCTGGTCTGTGCATGTTTAGTCGACTCATAAGTCGACTCACGAAGTGCAGCGGAGTTGTGATTTTTCTTCTGTTAAGTCGACTCATATAAGCCGACTCATTAGTCGACTCATAAGTCGACTCATAAGAGAGCCGTTGCACAGTAACGGCTAGTTCAGAAAACCGGATCTTGGGGGATTTTTGTGATTTCTTTGGGGTTTTGGTTGCTGTTATTTTTCACTATAAATACCCAACTACCCCATTTATTTTTCCCACCAACTTTGCATGAGAAAAATCAATTGTGTTTAATTCTTGAGTTTAAGAGCCTTAACTTTCAAAATCCAATTCCTTGTTTTACACTTGCACATCCCACATCCAAAGCTTCAAGTGCAATCTCTCTCCTTGCCATAGGGCTGTTGTAAGAGAGAAAGCTTCAAGTGCAATCTCTCTCCTTGCCATAGGGCTGTTGTAAGAGAGAGCAATTCTTCATTTGCTACCATTGATTGTGTGGTGATCTCGTAGAGATCAACTTTTTTGTGAGATCTCGTGGAGATCAACTGTGTCGTGAGATCTCGTGGAGATCGCTGTGTAGAAGAAGTTCCGGCTTCCAAACCGGGTTGTGTAGTGGATTCTCCTCGAGAGTGGGGAGCAGGGACATAGGCTAGAGAGCCGAACCTCGTGAATACATCGCACGTCACTTGGATAATGATTTCTATCTTATCTCTTTTTATTTTAGCATTATATTTTGTGGTGTTTGCTTGTCTTAATTTTTATTGCACAATTATTGCCTTAAGACCCTAATCACCCCCCTCTAGGGTCTAACATCTTACTGTTGTGCGCAGTGAAAATTTCGGCAGAGTTTCTGGTGTACAATAAGAGATAAAGATCATTAATAAGAATTCTCGTCTCACCAAAAAAACAAGAATCTGAAGCGAATATCTCAACAAAGTAAGATATCGGCTCTTCCTCTCATCAGTTCTAGGACTAACTTGTCGAGGGATCCTAAAAAACTATTACAATGGCCACAAACACAAACAAACCAATTTTACATGGTTCGGCAAACTGCCTACGTCCACGGGGTAAGGAGGGAGAGATCTACTATTAGAGAGGAGATAATACAACTAGGGTTTACAATCACTCAATCTAAACCCTCAAACTAACTCTCTAATCTCTCACAAAAAAGAACAGCCGCCAAATATGATTTTTCTTCTCTGCACGAAGTCCAAGAAAAAAAATCCACAACAGACTTTTGCACGCCGTCCAAGTCAATGCCTCTGCACAGAACTTCACGCAACCGTTTTTCTTTCTCCGCTCCCCTCACTTCACACACTACCCTAGGAGAGAAACGTAGCTATATATATAGCCATGACACAAATCGGGTGGGCTCTTCTTTGTATCCGCTGGCTGCCGAGTGGGTTTTGATCTCTCAAATCCCTTCACGCTGCTTTCCAATCTCGTAGCCTCTTTTTGTCCGTTGGGCTCGCCGCCTCCACGCGGTTTCGTTGCAATGTTATCTCTTCACGTCTCATCCACATCCTTTCACGCGTAAAGGGAAGCAACGTGGCCTCCACTCACACTTACATCTAGGAATTAAGAAAGATTAAGGACCAAATTTTAGCTCGAACAGAACATGTTTCTTCAGGTTCTGCGTTATACTCAATGCTATGTGATTTGAAAAAACTGAGGAATATATCAACGACCAACAGTAGGAAACATCTCAATAACTTGATAATCCAAAAATACATTTCAGACAAAAATACATTTCAGACAAAGGCAGAACTAACATAAAGACTACTGTGCAAACTACATATAATTACAACTGTTATAATGAAAGAAAACATCTCAGTAACTTGATAGGAGCATGATTTAGCAAAAATACTCATTTCACTTCAAGGTTGACACAGCACAGAGAATTAAGACTAAGCACCAAGCAGAGATTATCAAAACAGAGAAAACCTACGAACCAATCCAATCAGCATAGACGATTCCAGTAGCAGAACAAGCAAAGCATGTGAAGAAATTTAAGAACTCAGTCAGTGATCAGGGGAATTTAAATGGAAACAAGCAACTCTTAACCTCATTACTCAAATGCAAAATTTGCAGGCGTAATGAGCACATGAAACAACAAAAAGATCCTGTACCTGGATCAATGAGACCTAATTACCGGAGATAGTATTAGATGGAGATTTAGAAGTTAAGAAGCACTCTGAAGAACACAGAAAAATAAAAACAAGCCACGAGACTTCTTTGTATGCTAGCATGCCTCAAATTAACAGCCGAATTCAATCTCATCTGGGCTTTTTACACTAGGTACAGCACTTTGGTAGCTTCAACAACCAAATAAATTACTCAACAAATTAAAATAAGCCAGCATAGAACCATAAGACTAATTCTTACCAAATAAAAATAAAAATTACTGGATTCTTATAGTTTGATCAAATTGATACCATGGTAATATGGTAACCCTCCTTATAATACATAAAAATTTCCTTTGCCAAAAGCAATAAAATGTCTGCAACAAACAAAAGAGCCAATTGATGATTTTGCACAGTGTAATCTAACTATGCAGATATACCTTTAAATGAAATGCCAAACGTCCTTCTTCAAACAGGGTATAATGAGATCAAAACATCAAATATTTTGTGCCACCCAACACAATCAGGCGGATAACAGAAACAAAGCTGAGATAAAGATCAATAATAACAGAATCCCACAAAAAGATTAATCAAGAAAAAGGAAATGCACCATAATCCAATATCATAGGGATCCTTGACAGTAAAGCTGAACAAACTTCAAAATATTGCTTAATAAGCAAAATCAACGCTACCATTTATTTCATGAGGAAAAAGGCCAAAGTCATATTTACAATTAATGTCTTCTTAGTGGAACGCCACGAGCTTCTCATACTCCTTGCCAGAGCATCCTCCATGACCTTCACTGGATCAATATCACCATCGCCTTCCAAGAAAACCTTCATCAAATTCTTCAAGAAACCGCTGACCAAGGCAACACCCTTCTGCCCAGATGGCACAGGGGTCGACCTCGAGTCCCTCAGATTCCAAAACACAACCTCGGGTATGCAAGACCTGTACCCGTTATCCCTGAACTTCTTGCATATCACCTCATAATCAGTGTCCAAAGAATTCGCCAAAGCCTGATCAAACTCCATGTCACTAAACACAAACACCCTCGTTATCATCTGATCCTCCTCCAAATTCCCCTTCTTCGCCACGTCAAGCAATCTATCAAACACCTTTTGGAAATCAGTGTTCACAAACTCCATCTTATCAACGAGCTTCTCCCCTTCGATTCTATGAAGCTGAGGCTCTGCACTGAAAGTGATCACTCTCCCCTTCCAAGGCTCTTCACTGAGCTCTGAAGTCAACATCCCGAGGGCGACGCAGACATCCATTGGAGTCCCACTCATGCTTCCAGAGACATCACAGACAGCAATGCAGTTCTTCAACTTGCCCTTTTCAAGCAGATCCTGAACCATGCTATTCCATTGACGCTCTGCAACATCACCGGCCTCTTTGTCATGAGCAGACGCAAGGATCTCGTGAGGGAGCAAAGCCCCAGCTGCGATCTTCTCCTTCCCTTCTATTTAACTTTTCTTAGCCTCGTCATGCTTCTTGAAGATCTTCATGTACTTTTTCATGGCAACTGAGGCGACCCTCTTGTATGGGAGTTGGTCCCATTTTCCGGCGCTCACGTATTGTCAGGCGCCTAACAAAGACACAGCACTGAAAGAAGCAGCCACCCACGTTTTTTCATCCAATGCAGCCTTTGTTGATTTTTTGAAAGAAAACAAAAGAGCGGGCCCCACAGCTACAATAAAATATTACTATTTTATTGTGCATAGTATTTTTTCAAAAACTATAAATAGGCTTCAAATCCTTAAGGAAATCTCATCCCTATTTTATTGTGCATAGTATTTTTTCAAAAACTATAAATAGGCTTCAAATCCTTAAGGAAATCTCATCCCAGAAACAACTTCTTATATAGAAGAGCTTCAAATCCTTAAGGAAATCTCATCCCAGAAACAACTTCTTATATAGAAGAGTGAGAGAGAAAAAAAAATAGAGAGAGTTTCTCCTTGTAAAGAGAGAGAATTTGTAACTCCAGAGTTTTCTCCTCATAGTGAATTCTTCTATCCTTGCCCGTGGACGTAGGCAATCAAGTGCCGAACCACGTAAATCTGTGTGTCCAATATTTTATCTCTACTTTTGCTCTACTATTGCTGCGACCCTGCTCTATTGGGTCATGGGTTTGTCCCAACAAGTGGTATCAGAGCCAACTTAGGGTACTTGTATATATCTACCCAAAGGTGGATCCTCCACATCAGAAAATAAGTTAGGTTATCATTTACCCTTTGAAGGTGACGGGTACTGTTCACAAATACGGTACTATTCACAAGTATGGTACTATTCACAGATACGGTTACTGTTCATAAATACAGTACTATTTACGTGAAATAGTAAGAAGTTACTGTTCGTGGTAGAAGCAATGACGGCGAAGTTCAAGATCGAGAAATTCGATGGGAGTAATTTCTCACTGTGGAAGTTGAAGATAAAGGCTATCTTGAAAAAAGATAATTGCCTGGCGGCCATTGGTGCAAGGCCGGACGACATCACAGATGATAAGAAGTGGAACGAGATGGACGAAAATGCTATTGCAAATCTCCATCTGGCATTAGCAGACGGGGTGCTGTCAAGCATAGAGGAGAAGAAGACAGCAAAGGAGATCTGGGATACTCTAACAAAGCTATATGAGGCGAAATCCATGCACAATAAAATCTTCTTAAAAAGGAGACTTTACACTCTGAGGATGGCGGAATCTACATCGATGACCGACCACATCAACACCCTAAACACACTGTTCTCCCAACTCACAACGTTGGGATATACAGTTGGTGCGAATGAACGTGCAGAACTTCTACTTCAGAGTCTACCTGACTCGTATGATCAACTCATCATCAACCTGACGAACAACGTCCTCACGGACAATCTAGTCTTCGACGATGTTGCAGCCGCTGTTCTGGAGGAAGAAAATCGGCGCAAGAACAAGGAAGACAGGCAGACAAGTTCGCAGCAAGCGGAGGCCTTGTCGGTGACGAGAGGAAGATCAACAGAACGTGGCTCCAGTGGGAGTCATGCCCATGGTAGATCGAAATCACGAAGTAAGAAGAATATCAAATGCTACAACTGTGGCAAAAGAGGGCACGTCAAATCGGAGTGTTGGCACAACAAGAAGAGTGGAGATAAAAAGTCTTCAGAGCCATCAACATCTCAAGGATGCATTGTCAGCACGTCAGAGGATGGTGAAATTCTATTCAGTGGAGCAACCACTGTTGATGAAGGCAGAAAGAAGTTTGCTGATGTCTGGCTTCTAGATTCAGCAGCCTCTTGGCACATGACCTCTCGGAGAGATTGGTTTCACAAATATGAACCTATCTCAGGAGGATCTGTATTCATGGGGAATGATCATGCCTTAGAGATTTGTGGTATTGGTACTATCAAAATTAAAATGTTTGATGGTACAATACGCACCATTCAAGATGTGCGACATGTGAAGGGCTTGAAGAAGAATCTATTATCTTTGGGACAATTAGATGAGCTCGGGTGCAAGACTCATATCGAAAATGGGATCATGAAGATTGTTAGAGGGGTGCTTGTGGTGATAAAAGAAGAAAAGATAGCTGCAAATCTGTACATGCTCAAGGGAGAAACCATGCAGGAAACTGATTCATGTGTGACATCAACCAGCCGTGGAGAAGAACAAACCATGATGTGGCATCGCAAACTAGGCCACATGTCAGAACGAGGCTTGAAGGTTCTCTCTGATCAGAAACTACTTCCTGAACTTAATTCGGTAGCTCTTCCATTTTACGAGCATTGTGTTACAAGCAAGCAGCATCGACTGAAGTTCAACACATCGAGTTCTAGAAGCAAGACTATTCTGGAATTGGTTCATTATGATGTATGGCAAGCACCAGTTACATCCTTAGGAGGAGCAAAGTACTTTGTGTCCTTTATTGATGATTACTCCAGGAGATGTTGGGTGTATCCTATCAAGAAGAAGGCGGATGTGTTCTCAGTATTTAAAGCCTACAAAGCGCGGGTCGAGCTTGAATCTGAGAAGAAGATCAAGTGCCTGCGGTCAGATAATGGAGGAGAATACACAGACGGTGAATTCCTAGCATTCTGCAAGCATGAATGCATCAAAA